CAAACCCCTCCTTTGGTTGGGGACTGGGAAGGGCGACCCCCCCGCGCCAAGGAGCTGGTTGGGGTCGGCGCATCCCCCTCCGAGTTTTGGGGTGACCCCCCCCGCACACACTGAGCTTTGGGGTGACCCACACACGCGCACACTGAGTTCTGGGGTGACACTCCACATACACTGAGTTTTGGGGTGACCCCCCCCGCACACACTGAGCTTTGGGGTGACCCACACACGCGCACACTGAGTTCTGGGGTGACACTCCACATACACTGAGTTTTGGGGTGACACCCCCCTGTTTGGGGATGATAGCCCCTCATGCTGCCTTACGGGCTGACCTTCCTCCACACTGGGGTTCCCCCCTGTGCTCTGTCCTCTCCAGCCCCACGTCCCCTGCCAGGCCTGGGGGTCCCCAGGCCGTGACCCCCACCGGCGGCAGGGCCGAGGCGGGATCCCCAGGGCCTATCCTGCCTGATGGCAACCAGGAGCCTCATGAGCTCCTGTTGCCCCCCAGGTGGGTGAAACCCCCCAGGACTTGCACTGGAGCAACTCCAGGACCCCAAATTCCTGAGCCCCAAACTGATTCCATGGTGGCACTCAGCCAGGAGCTGTCACCTGGGTGACAAAGATGTGTCCTGCCCCGCCATTCCCGCATGGCTCAGACCTCCTGTGTGTCCCCAAGTCCCCTGCCTGTCCCGGGGACCACCGCACATCCATGAGGCTGGATCCCATGTGCTGCAGCTCCTCATGCCCAATGTCCGTGTGTCTTTTCCAGCCGTGTCCTGCACGTGTGTCCCTCCGTCCCTCGCCATGTACACCTGTGCAAAGTTCGTCTCCGCTCCTGCGCTAGTGAGTAGTGACAAAGCCCTTCTTTGCCCTGAATGTCCCCTCCACGGGACAAGGGTGTTCAGGGGGTAACATGTGCCCCACTTGGGGACAGGGGGGAGAGGTTTGGGGACACTTTTGCAGGTTTAGAGCCACCCTGGGCCGCACTGAAGGTGAGCAGAGCCCCGAGCGCTCCGCTGCTCTGGTTAAAGATCGTTTGCCATCCCTTGACGGTTACTAATTACCCACGCAGAGGTGGATACGGCACTGGGAGTAAAGCGCCTTTGGCTAGGTGCTGGCCTCGGCAGCACGCAGGATCTGTACAATGATGCCTGCAGCCGTGGGGTGCCCGCGGCGGGGCCCTGGGGTGCCCGGGAGCTCAGCTTTGGTGCCAGGACAGGCTCTCCCGGCTGGGTGCTGCCAGCTCACAGGGTGCCCCGAGGGGCTGAGCAGGTTTGGGGGTTACCAGAGGTGGCAATGGTGGCCTCAGGGGATCCCGGGTGGAGTTTTGCTGCCCTGGGGCCACATGGGGTGGGGTGTCCCACCCCAGATCTGAGGGTGGCTGTGCTTTGCAGGTGAGGAGGAGCTCGCGGGTGCTGTGCCAGCCCCTTTCAGCCTCTGTGCTGAGCAACCCCGAGGCCCGGACAGAGCAGGTAACGCACCCGGCTCGGACTGGGGGACACGGGTGTGCTGGGGGTGCTGAGCACCGGCTCTGAGAGGGGCGCAGGGTTGTGACTCTGCCCCCTGCCCACCCTGGGGCTGCCCGAGAGGCTGCTGGGAGCTTGATAGGAGGAAACTGAGGCCTGGGGCAGGGG